GCAAAACGGATGAAGGACAGACCGTTCGAATTTTTGCTAGGGACTGGACTGGTTTCACAAAATTGGATGAAGGACAGACTATTTGTACTAGAATTACAGTACTAATGTGGTGGTAACACCAGCCCTATATCAGTACATCAAACAACAAACAACAAACAGCAGTAACATCCAAGAAACACTTACTACTTGACTCTCAACTGTATGAGAGATGTGCATATGAAGTTTGAAAATCAGAGAGTGATTGGAAGTGTTCCTGTGTAGGGGGTCTTTCAGGTACACTTTTAACAGTGATATGCAGTAAAAATTAAGTTCTCAAAAAATCCTGGGGTGACATTTTCCAATTTCGGACACACATGGAATAATGAAATTCTGATCCTGCACGAGGAAAAAAAAACTGTTGCGCGCCCCTCTAAATTATGACCCCTGCCGTACGGTACTGTAAAATACCAAAGCTTGGCTTAAAATAAGGTAACGGGTCATGACATGCTCGAAAAAGTGTCTTACATGGAAATCTTTTTCTTTTAGAATTACGGAAGCGAATTCTTTAGCTCATTCCGGTTCATTTCCTTCTAATTACCAAAAATATAAACGAAAGAGACGTGCAAGTCCTTATTCTGGACAAAATCAATCCTATGTAGTAAATGTGCTCAACACCATAGGAGCTGCGCTTGGCGGGATATATTCATTTCCAATTCAGGACGAGGGGATGGCTCGCTCTCATCAAATACGGCGCAGCAGTTTTTAAGAAAACTCTCCTACTGCCTGCTACTTGTACTCTTGCCGTACGTTGCAATACAGTAAGTGCCAGTACGAGTACTCGCACCTTATGGCACGGAAGAGGGGGGATTTTGCGAAGCACTAATCCAAATATTTATTAAATCTGGTGTGCAATACAGTATGTTGTCTACGCTACAGTAAATGTATATTGTGTATCATAGTACAGCCGTAGCAATGAACTTCGATGTACTACCGGTACGAGTGTCCGTCTTCAAAAATAAACGGACAGGTACGTTCTGTACAGTATGGTACGCAACGGGTACTCGACTCGAGACTGCCAAAATGTAAAAACAGTAAGCGTTATCTCACTTCATCTCTCTCCTCGTCACTGAACGAGGGAAGAACAACACCAACAGGTTGCGGATAGCAAAACGCAACCCGCTCTGTATGGCTGGGATAATGGCAGCAAGTGTCCCAAGGCAGGACCTGGCGACAGGCTGGGACGGCGATCCACAAAGGTACGAAAGACTATTTATTTGATCTTCTAAATGTCGAATTCGTTTCGGAATACGAAGGTTCCGTCTCCGGGGTACGGTATTACTAGTAGAAAAGAAGCGACGTTCTGTCGCGTTATCTGTTCACCAATAATGCTTGGATCTCTTTCGAGTGTGGACAGCAGGATGTATTCCTTGAGGAAACACACCTTGTCTTCGGCTGTTGCCATATCCGGGGTGATCGATCAAACCCTCCTCATTCAGACCTAAGAACATCGAACGAGCGAACAAAAAAACTGTATCCTTAGTGGAATTAAGTGTGCTAAAGCCCCGATGTATCATCCTTTTCTGATACGTTACTATCGGCGTTAGAGTCGCCTTTTTTAAGGACGCACGTAACGATGAACTAGTTGAAAGTACGGCTATAGGTCATCAAGAACAATGCGGCTGATCGCGCATCGTCTAAATATGAGCTTTTTTTTGTCGCATCAGACACGATCCAACTAGTCGCGGTTAAAAAACCGTTCTCATTTTACGCTCATAACCCATCATCTTCCGATTTCCCCCTCTCCCTCGTGCTCACATCATTGCCGTTTGTGCCGAACTTTTTTTGCTTCCATCCCCAATACTCCTTTGGTCCGCCGCAAATGCATCTACTGCCGGTAACGCTGTGAAAAACGTATGCCCATCTGATAAAAATGCTTACTCAACAAAATTCCCCTCATATGATATAAAACAACCAAACCGTTGCCAACTGATGTTGACAATACTATGACAGTTCGATGGAGACAAATCCAACATCCGCAACCAGTGGATTAGAATTAGGCATTGGAGGTTTGAACTTAATTTCATCAAACATCAATAGTGGTGCCAACATCAAAAGCAGGAGCCCGGTACCCAATTCGGGGGACAGCGTCCACAGTACTCATTCTACCGGAACCGCAAACTCCAACCAAGGCGAAAGCTTTACTAGCGGCGGGAGTAATATGAGTAGACCTCCGGGAATGTCGTCCTTGCCTCTGTTGGTGCCACCCATCGGGAAGTCAGGCCATTCCAAGAGTTCTTCAAATTCTTCCACTGCGCATACTGCAACTCTGACGCCAACTTCCTCGATTGATGGGGGAGCTTCGAACGACTTGTATGTCGGGCCAGGGGGAGCACGGAGTCAAAATTCTCCCTCGTCCTCTGGAGACCATCTTCCCGGGATCACAAATCTGGGTAGTTTCGATACTGATGATGGCGCCCATGATGGGTTGATGGGATTGCAAGCACTCAGGGAAAGAGCGCAGTCCTCCCCCGGTCCGCCACCACGCGAGTTTTCGGCAAATGCTAGGGGCTTTGTACCCGGGCGTCCTCGACTTCCATCGAAAGATAGCGGTCGTAGCATCAGCGTTGGAAGCACTAGGCCACCCCTTGCTGGTGGGTCTGCCATTGCACCGCATACGGTGGAGGGTATGGGCTTTCAGTCGACAGGAAACCGAAGCCGAGGTGCAAGCCCTCCTCCCAATGCTGGTGTCATTTCTCGTCCCGACTCACAATTTCTGGGATATGGCAATGGTGGAAACCCCAGTGACAATAGCTTCGACTCTATGACTCTTCGTAGGGCTTTGAGTAATGATACCTTTGGGGCAGACTACAACAACTACGGCGGTCCTCGCCAAGGAAATGACCATCTCAACAACTCATTTAGCCAGGTTTCCCTGAACAATCAGATTCGAGGGGGACCATCTGGGCACGTTCCTGGCCTATACCAAAGTCAGTCTCAGCGCTCCCTGACGGGAGGACCAGAGTACTACCACGAGGCGAACTACGAAGCTGGTTTCATTCCTCATCGTGCGAACGCTAACGTAGATGCGGACTATGCTATGCAGCAACAGCACCACCAGGACATGAACTACCATTCATACGGACCCGGTGGACATCAATTCCAGCAGCCTCGCGGACCACATAGACGAAGTCTTAGCCTACAACATAATTCCTACAGTGACAATGATCTGGCGGGGCAGGGTAGTCAGGGAGTCTACGGGATGCATCATCGTCGAGGATCATTGCCCCACGATGGGCAAATGCAAAGACGTGGTGCCGAGTTTGATCGTGATTTTGATCAACGAGAGCGCCTTGGCAATACGAGCTATCACCGGCACGATAATCGCATGGTGAGTCCCGCGCACAGTCCGATGCAGTCTAGTTACGGAAGCAACCACAACAGATATCCAAGCGACATTAGTAGTGCCTCTTCCTCTTCTCCATCGTTGGGTCTTGGTAGTAGTGCAGTAAGTTCTCGTCAATGGCTGAAATCTACTTTCTGGAAATAAATTTTTTTGTCTGCACTCACAAACAGCTGTTCTCTTTTTCTGTTTGGTTTGCGCAGCCTCTCTATGGTCGCCACCGCCTTGCCCATTCCGATGAAGATATCTCTCATCCGTTGGCTGGAGAGAACATCGAGGTTCCAGGGGAGGATCAATACTACAATGATGGAATGACCTACCAACGTTCAGCATCGATGGGGCACGCACCATCTTACAATACAGACTCTCGCCATCTTCCAACGGCCGGTGCTTCCATGCAGGCACCGAAAAATGTGTACAACGTCAAGTTTAAACGCACCCAAAGGACCTTTGAAATAGGGCCACGTCTGAATCGACACCTGGAAGTTGGGACGTACGTGAAGGTGGAAGCCGACCGTGGGGAAGATCTAGGCATTGTCATTGGGAAGGCAAAAAACCCTCTTGCTCGATCATCGAGTTTTGGGGCCGGGATGGGAGACATACCTACGGCCGGTGCGGGTGGAGGCGGCGATCTAAAGAAGATCATCCGTCTTGCTACGCATGACGAGGTACAATTGCTAGGAATGAAGCGCAAAGAGGAAGAAGAACTGCTAGAAGTTTGTCGCCACAAGGTCATACAACGAGGAATGCCTATGGTCGTAGTGGATGCAGAATACCAGTTCGATAGGCACAAACTCACCTTCTTCTTTGAAGCAAATACCAGGATTGACTTCCGGGAGCTTGTTCGTGATTTGTTTAGCATCTACAAGACTAGAATTTGGATGCAGCAGTTGGATAAGAGCACATCGGCGACTTGCCCAACGGCTCCTGCACCAGCTCCGTTAGTGATGGACTACGGAACTCCCATTATTGCTCCAGTGAGTGAGTACGAGGGCTATGCTCAGACCCCTGCTGTTGGGTCTGATGACGGCAAAGAATGATTTACCTACAAACAAAGATAGACAATACACAAAAACAGGGATGATTTTGCAAAACATAAGAACAATAAGAGCAACAAGAATAACAATACATCATTGGATGCAACAACTGAGATTGGAAGCTTTAGGTCGTGACATAATCCTTTTGCATTTCAAGCAAGCTTCATACCGAAAAGTAGCTTTCCTGGGATGTTTATGTCACGCAATCTAATTCAATGAATTGCATGAAAAAGAAAAGAAATAACATAAACGTAGAATAACTAAATAGTAAAATATATAAAATATGCCACATTGGTAGTTTCACCACCGCCATTCAATACCATGCTAGTTGTCCTTAGATTTCCTGTACGTTCTAGTTCAGTCTTCGTCTCCTATATTTCAGCTTCCATTCTGGAGATCTATTTTGAAACTTTCCACAGCCAACAGCAGAGACAACCTTGGCGTACCCATGTACCATATAACATGCTTTCATAACTAGATTTCATTTTTTGTTTTTGTTGCTTTGTAGGATGTAATCTGCTGTCCATTTTATTGCCTTCGCTTGCTGTTCCTCCGCTGTAATTCCCTTGCGCTCCCAATCCGGTTTCGGAAAAAATTGAGGACCATAATGCGCGAACCCAGCATGATTCCCGCCAACAATAATTTCAATTTCCGAATTTTCTGGACACTTGCTCGTCATTACGCTGCTACCTTTCAGCTCAACAGCCCCGTCGCACGTTCCGTAAATCCCCAGGTGTGATTCTAAATGGATGGCGTCGGCATCCACCGCAGGACCAGCTTCCTGTATTCTGCGCAAAATGCCGGCGTCCTCGGGAGATGCCCATTGAACCACCCGTTTGATGTCGCGAGGAAACCCAGAGGATGTTTTTTTTGCAAAAAAGGAGGCGGCTGCAACCCCTCCCAACGAGTGCCCGCCCAGAATCCATTCCCCGACCGAAATATTCATGAGGACAGATATTTCGTGTCTCAACCGCTTTACGTGCTCGACCGTGGCAATCTCGGTACAAACCCGAGAGGGCTCAGCGCTTGCCAACAGTACCAGAATTCCCATGTCGCTGAGCTTTCCCAAAACGGTTGCATACGCCATGTGATCGACCATCAGGCCGGGATAGAAGATCAGGGCTTTGTCCACTGAATCTCCAATGCCGACGCCGGGGGGGAAAAAGACTTCGTAGCCCTTGTTTCGCTTTGCTCTCGAACTCTTGCACCTCTTAGTGTAGTCCTCAACGGCTGACGGAAATGCCGGCAACCTTTGGGTGCGAAAGCCGTACGCGAAGTGTAGCGGCGCGAGTGCAAAAAAGAAAAGCCCGACCACCGACAAGGTCCCCCTAGATATTTTCCGGAGCAACGGCCAGCGGGAATCGGAGGTTGTAGCAAGCGCTCCCAAAGTACCTGCAAATAAGCATACGCCTCGCATCGCCCACGGCTTTTCGTGGAGAGTGTTGAGGAGTATTGACCGGATGGGTCCGAGCAAAAATCCATAAGCAGACAGCAAGGAAGACAGAAAGATTGGTGGCGGAGTGGTGTTCTCAAATCCAAGATGGGCTCTAGGTGGTTTCGGTATATGTAGTTGTTTTTCTTGCTCGTTGGAAGTCGGCGACTCCAACGCAGTTGGCTCTGGACGTCCTTCTCCTCGTGCTTTTATCTTCAATTTGTAGAGCTCGGCAACCTTGTTGTCGTATTTTTCCCTGATGCTCACTTCTGATACGGATAAAGGAATTCCTCCATCACGAAGATACGAATTGCATCGTTCGTTTCCACCGTGTTCCTTCATGATTTCCAATTGTTTCTCCGTGAAGGAATCCATATCTAAGCTCCGCACGAAGGAAATGTGAACGCCCAATCCGCGGTGCTTGCCGGAACATTCTATACACAAGAGAATCCCGAAACTGACACTGCACCAAGTCGGGTTGGGTACCCCGCAGTCGGCACATTTTTTGTTGCCCTCCAAAGCCTTGACGATGATCTGATCTGCTCGTTCCATCGATGAAAATAAAGTTGTGTAATGCCTTGCTTGCGATATTTTTCGGGTGGTAAAAACTGTTCAAAAACAACTCCCTAAAGGTTTTGTGTTGCATTCGGTTGCGTCGTCATGGTTTACTCTTCGATTATCTGCGCCAGCAGAGCTGTTCCGAGAAAAAAGGAACAGAAACTTAACTTTTTCCCGTCGCGTGTTGCCAAATGTTGCCACCTGGATTTTTTTTTTTTTTTTGATACTACTACTCAACTACTACTCCACTTATCACACCCCTCTCATCACTACAAACAAAATTATAAGAATATATTTTAACATATATAAATATATTCTTTATATATTACATCACTATACTTGATGGTTGAAGTTACTCCAATGCTCATTGCAACTTCTGCAACCATTCCTTGACATTTTTAAACTAATCGATGGCAACTTCCTCAATCTCCTCACTGATGAGTTAGTAGGATATCTATTCTTTGCTTCTTCTATACAGACAACACAATAGTTCCTCTTTGCTTACTCCTTCATACTTGCCACTGTATCTTTTGTCCCTCCATATAGTGGCCTGTACAACATATTTGGAATTACTTGGTCCAGTCATT